AATGATATAATTGAAAATACATTTTGTTATAATCACGTCCGCTACCGGATCGTGAATATGTGTAATATTGTGGTTGGTTTTACATACTAAATCATGTGTTTCCATTAAATTTAACATACGACCGTTTTTTTCTTGATATCCTATCCTTTCTGTGTATAGAAGTTTATTTATATTATTTGTACTATCTATTAATTTGAGATTGAAAAAATTATCGTTATCATCACTATATGCAGTTATATTTAAAAGTTTCTTTATTCGTAACCTTAACCTTTCTATTATTTGTTTGTCCGTTGTTCCGTTCCAATATACAAGTATGGGTACTCTGTGGTCAGCATGCAAGTATTGGTTTAGATAAGTAGTTGACAGAGTTGTTTCCCCCTCAAGTTTTATACTGGCTTCCAGTTGCCCCAATAATGGTAGTAACAACTCTGGCTTATTCCTAAATATCCGCCCAACACTTTACATTTACCTGTTTGACCTCCCTTTGTTTTAACATTTTTAACTTGTTATCGGTTGTTAAGACGATTGGTTTTCCTTCTAATTTTATTGGCCTATACTTGTTTAAACTGTTTGAAATCGCCCCTGATACGAGTAGTAGGTTTTTTCGTTTTATCATAGTGAATTCAAAATCCACTATGATAAATTTAATCTGGTCACTGTAAAATATAATTAATTTATTACTATATATACCTTATACTATTTTATCCTAATTTATTATTCCTCGGCGGCCGCTGCTGCCTGTATTACTTCATCCATTAATATTGCTAATTGTGAACAAGTTGGTTCACGCACCTCACGCACTATTGCTATTAATTCTAATGTCTTCTTAATTATTTCTTTTACTCTATGTAATTCAAGCGGTGTATATGGGTTTACTAAATGTTCGTTCGCTATTGTCATATGGTGATTTAAACATGTTGGCTCCAGTGCCGGATCTAAGTCTCAGGAGGCCTGGGTGCGACTACCAATTTAAGGCCCCTTTAAAAAAATTTTTCGACATAGCACTTAACTATTTATTAAATACATATTGAAATATTAAATAACCTAAAATCACAAAATATTAGTACCTACCTTAATTGTTATGTAAATTATGAAATACATATTACACTTACTATTTCCATACCTATACCTCTTAGATATGAACATGAAGTATTAATGTATGCTAGTATTACATAAATTTAGTCAATTGAAATCATTAATAATTAATATAATAATGAGTAATAACTGTATTTTCAATATTGTGCTAAAATGGAAGAAAACAAATATAAAAAGTTGAAATAGATCAAAAATAAAAATCAACAATATTATAAATAGTTTTTAATACTTAAATATATTTATTTCAAAAAGTTTTTTTTTTTTGATTTGATATTAGCAAAGTTATTAATTATTTGTGATATATTTATTTCATTTGTTCTTTCTCTTTCTATGTTTAATACTGCAATATTACTTAGTCTATTTTGACTCATTGAGTTTCTCAAATAGTTTTTTATTATTTTTAATTTAGAAAAAGAACGTTCTGCTTCTGCAACAGTAATAGGTATGGTTATAAATATTACACATGCACTTAAAACATCTGGAAATACAATGGATAAATCATTTTCAACAATATAAATGGCCAAGCTCTTAATAGTTTTAAGTTGATGTTTTTGTAAACTAGTTCTTAAACTTAATAATTGTCGGGTAAAATCTGTGCTGATATCATTACTATATTTTAATATGAAGTCATATGATGCATTGACAACTTCTTTTTCAGTTTTTGATAAAAATGAAGTAGGATTTAAAAATGAAAAAGTTTCAATTACCTCATGTGTTCCTTTAAATCGAGCTACAAGTTGTGATAAAACAGAGTCCATAACAGGGAAAAAAATTTGAACTTTAAAATTATCTTCATTAGTATTAAGTCTACGATCACCATCTATTTCATCAAAATATTTTACTGCTTGTTTTTTACGTTCATTGGGATATGTGACTGGTATATTCCATTTTTTACATAATTCTTTTGCAATAATTAAAATATGCTGGTAGTTATCTCTGATGTCTTGAGTTGATGTCAGAGCCATCTGTATCATGTTTGAAGCTGCTTCCAAATCCATATTTATATTTTGTAGTCGTTTTGATAAATATGCAAAGAACCTAGAATTGGTTCCCACATACATAAAATCAATATAAATTCAAATGTTTCCAACTTTTTTTTTAATCCACTGGCTAATGTTTTTTCTGATGTTTTATTACTAGTAAGAATAATATGAGTTAACGATTTAAGTATATCTATATAACGTTCTTTCGGGGAAAATATTGCATCATGTCGAGCTTCCCACCTAGTAGGGCACACTTTTTTTAGAACCTTTGTACGGATTTTAATAGAAATATCATGTCCAAATGCTAAAAGTGCCCATCTTGGCGCACTACTAGCAAAAAAATTAAAAATTGCTTGAACTGTGTCAAAAAAATTCAATATTTTACTATGACATTTAGCTGCATCAGATCTTACTAAATTAAGATTGTGACTATAACAATGAATATACAAAGCTGATGGAACAAGTTCTTTTATTCTAGTTTGAACGCCAGAATGGACTCCGCTCATCACAGATGCCCCATCATAACCTTGTCCACGGCATTTGTTAATATCCAAGTCAAGTTTTGATAAAATTTCACATATCATCTGTGAATAATCAGCAGCTCCGTGGTGTTTTAACTCAAAAAAACCTACAAATGACTTCTTAACTTCTAGTTTCTTCTCTTCAAAATTTATAACAGTGTACCGAATAATAACACTCAGCTTATCCAGTTTAGTTATATCTAAAGTAGAATCCATTATAATGGAAAAACATTGGCATAACTTTATTTCATTACAAATAGTTTTGAGTAGATCTGAAGATAAAATTCCAATTAATTCATCAACTATTGTGTGACTCAGATATTTGATTTTGCTTTTCTCACAATTAATAAGTTTGCTCAATATGGGATCATAATTTGCAACTAATCTAACGGTTTGTAAAAAATTACCTTCGGAAAACTGATTTTTTGAACTAAATTTACCTTCATTCCCTCGAAGAGCAGTATTTCCACTAGTTAAATGTAAAATTATCATTATAATTCTTTCCAGTACACTTCTCCAGAATGCAGCCTCTTCTGATACTTGATTTTCTAGTTGACTATCTAAAACTTTATTTTTTGCCCACTGTTTGCACTAACGGGCTTTACGGGGCGTACGTCAGTCGCAACGGAACTCCGGACCGTCGTGAGGGGAGATTTAAATAATGAATAACAAACAACTGCTAATTACAATATTATACATGTATTTAGCTATACGTAATGAATTAATATAATATTATTATTTGGGACAAAATGGGAGACGGGGAGCACCGCTCTGCAACACACTGGTGTTGATCACTTCCAAGTAGCGGAACTGCTTGGCTGAACTGCCGAAGGTAGATTCCGGAGCAGGAACAACCACGTGGATGGCAATACGCAACCGGAGCGGGTCGTCGCGAACGAGACGCGACTTTTACGAAGAGCCAATAAACCACTTGAAGGTCAGAGCTGACTAGTATCGCACGGTTGAGAGCACAACACAATGTTTTAAACAAAACAGTGAGCGGCGGAGCAGACCAAACACACAAAAAACAACGTATTTTACGTAATACGCAAAAATGAACGAAGAGCTTCGTACAGCATGAACGGCCAAAGACAACGAACATGGCTGAACACGGCGGCGACCGCGTCGTTTACCGGACCAGGGCGACGGGCGCAACAGTGTCGCCAATCTGTCGGGTGACCAAGCACCGTTACGGATCAAAGTCCAAGACCCGTGACAGATTGTTTACGTAAAAAGATCGAACACCCACAGAGATCGAATTTTTACAGATTCAATATGTTGAATTGAACTTTCATGTTTAAATATTTTCTGAGAAAGATGTTGCCAGTTATCAATTCCAGTAATCCATTCAGACTTATAATTTATATATTGTCTGTCAGCAAAAAGCCAACATGATTCACAATAAACATAATTTAGGATAGGTGAATTGCAAAGCCATGTACGAGGAATACGATTACCAGATTTTGATGATAAGTAATAATATTCTACTGAAAATTTTCTTTTGTCTTCATTGCGAGGAAATTCAATTTTTGGTCTACATCAGAGGTTCCCAAACTTTTTTGCTCCGTAGACCACTTGCCAACTTTTTCCATTTTCGTAGACCCCTAAAATTAAATTTGTGCTCACCTGAGTAAGCTCTAATACGGAGTACATTTTTTAAAAATAAAAAACGTGTTGTTTTTAATAATAATAATACCTTTATTTCTTTAATAATGACAATATTCAAATAATTTTTTTAGTAATTAAAACGATAATAAATGCAAATAAAAATTTTATAACATAAAAAAAAATCAAGGTTAGTTTTGAAATATATATCTTTAATGTGAAGGATGGACCTGATGCTTTGATAATAGATTTTCAATATTCGGCTTCAAATTAGTCAGGTTTAACCTCAAATCTCCTCTATCAGTGATTTCCAATCTATTTCTTTTTTTGTAAGAAGATTGACAACTGTACTACAACCCCTTTCCACGCAGTATGATGACGGAAAAGCTATCAAAAACTTTTTTGCGATTATCCATAAAGACTGTAACTGCAAGTTAACCTCATTAAATTTAGCAAATAAATCTGTTAAATAAGCAATGTCTTGCTTTCTTTGAATCAAATTTTCTTTTAATACGGGATCTTTATCACCCAAAAAACTCTTAAACAGTGTCAAAAAGTGAAAAAAATCTTGTCAAACATTATCCTTTCGATAGCCACCTTACTTCGGTGTGAAGGAGTAATCGAATGAAGTTTTCGTCATTTTCTTCACATAACTGTGCAAATAATCTAGAATTCAATGCGTTACTCCGAATTTTGTTTACTGCGTTTATGATTAATTGAAGAGATTGATGTAATCTGGTACTTAGATTTTTAGCAACTAAATGTTGTCGATGGATGACGCAGTGAATTGCAAACAACTCGGGTACATATTGTTTTAAATGACTTAGAAAACCACGATAACGCCCAACCATGGCAGGTGCTCCATCTGTTGCTGCTGATATTATATTTGTTAAAGGAATCGCCTTTTGTGTCTGTAGTTAACGTTTTTGCGAAGAGCAGTTCTTCGTGGATTTCTTGATCCATAACAAAACGAACATATGCTAATAATAGTGCTTCATTACCAGGCAAAGTTGACTCATCTAATTGTATGGTTGTTTGCAAATAATTACACAAGTAACTTTCAACATCATGACTCATTTCATCAATGCGTCTTTGAACTGTATTGTTGCTTAAAAGAATTTTTTTCAGTATATCATATGCAGGTCTATGTAAAACAGTTTTTAAGACCTCTTCAATGGCTGGCAAAATTAGCTGTTCCCCGATAGTATGAGGCTTACCTGATTTTGCTATGAGCAGTGAGATATTGTAAGACGCCCGCAAGCCATCGTCGTCTTTTTTTAACGTGGCAGCAAACATACTATCCATCGTAGGTCTCTTCTGAAATTTTTCTTTCAGTGTTTGAAAGTATTTCAAATCTTTACGTGTTTTTTCAGGATGACACCTTTTCAGATGATCTTCTAGCTTAGATGGTTTCATAGCGTCGTTGCTTAAAACTTTGTTACATAAAAGACACATAGGTAGGTTTTTGTCCGGCAATGATGGAATGAAGCCGAACTTCAAATAATCAATGCTATATTGCCTACATTTCCTTTTAGAATCAGCCATAATTAATAGCAGTTATATTATATAATATAATATAATATAATATATAATATATATAGCTTATATATTTGTACAAAAATTAACCGATTTGTGAATTAGTAAAACTTAGAAAAATGCCAAACGACGAATGATCGATAATCGGCTGTCACGAATGAACTATATTACTAAACGCACAATAATATATTCAAACAATATTTCAAATATATATATATATATTAAATTAATTTTTTTCGTAAAAATTACGACATGCATTTTCGACTTATAACTCTCGTGGACCCCTATTTACACATGATGCACCCCCAATTTTAATTTTAGTTGACATAGACCCCTTACAGGTCAGAATCGACCCCAGGGGTCGATATACCGTGTGTCCCAAAAATCAGGGGCCACTTTACCACTCATTACCATGTAAATATTTTTCATTCTGTTTGCGGACATTAAACTAGACTAATGGATCGTAAATTCTATGACTTACAATGTTTTAACTATGTATCTTTGCGCATGCGCAATAAACCACTTTTTAAATGGCAACCCGTGTTTTAATATCATATTCGTTCGTCGATTTTTCGCCATTTTGATGCATCAACTTGTGTCCTAAACCCAAAATTGACTAAACTAGAGCTATAGAATTTAAAAATTTAAAAATTCAATTTAATTAATTTTTCTAACTGTACGTATTTTATTTATTTTTACAATCATTAAACAAACAATCAAAATTATTATTATTAAACTAATAATATTTACTATTTATGAATTATTATCTTATTTTATTATTACGCATTATGAAACAACATAGTTTAACACGTATTTTCAAGAAAAATTTCTATTATTTTATTTTTAGCATTACTATACATTTTATTTTACAATTTAATTTATAGAAATTACAAACATAAACTATTCAATAAACTGTTCGAAAGTCCTCCGTCGTAAATGCATCGCCTCAAATCGACGTAAACATTCACGATTAGTTGCCAGTATTTGGTTTGCTTAAGAGATAACATGCGTGTAATTTATTCTTTAAATCTTGAGGATTGAGATCAGTATTAACAACATTTTTCAAGTGTTCTACAAAAATTAACGGTGTTAGATCTGGTGACCCAGTCACTCTTACTGGTCCATGTTGTAACACATTTTCACAACTTACTCTCAAAATTCTTGGACGATTCGAGCATTATGAGCAGGTGCCCACTTGTTGATAATAAATGTTTTACGTATATCTAATGGTAAATCATCAAGGAGTAATTGCAAATCATTATGCAAAAACTTGGCATCTTCTTCCCACAGTTCCGTCAGAAATAGTCCAAGTAACTTACCACTAATCAAACCAACCCATACATTGTACCCCAACATGTTTAAAGTCAGGAACAGCCCAGTGAGGATTTTCTTATTCGACCAATAACGGTTATTTTGCTTGTTTAATATTCCATTATTTGTAAATTTACTTTCATCAGTCCACAAAATATGATTAATCAATGATGGATCATCCTCAGACATCGCCATAAACCAAGAAATAAAATTTAATCTTTTCTGGGTCTGCGTGCAATGTTGACTAAGTCTGGTTTGTAGGGGGTGTAGTTTATTTTTAAATTATGAACTAAAGTTTAGGTACAATCTCAGTCCGACGTGCTCAATGACGAACGTGGGTTAAGATGTACACATGCTAAATCTGATTTAAGCAACCGCTTATTTAAATAAATTTAATTAGTTTAATAATACAATTTGATTGTTGCTCTATGGTGCTAAAAACAGCAATACGTAACTGAACGAAGTACACAAG